CTCAATAGTCTGACCTGCTCGGCTGCAGGGGGTTGGCCTAACCCGAGGGCGCAGGGAATAAGGCATTACTGTCTCATTCCTGATGCGGCTGCGCACAGCAGGTGCCTTTTGAGCAGCACCGGGCTCTTTGGTTTTAAAAGTATTTCGACCGTATCGGATAATGCGCCGGCGGTCACGGTCAACCGTTGGGCGATCGGAGTGTGCGGCTTTTGGGGCCAACCTTTTCTAACCCGTCCTTCCTCGGGGGAAGGCAGCATCGCTGCTTCCATAAATATGGACATGCTGGTCCCCTGGGGGAAACACCTTACTACCTTCACACTCCTGTCGCAAAGGACAGTACGACTTTACCCCCAGACAGCCTCGTAGCACGATTACTCGTAGTACGGGGTCTCGCTGCTCTTGGTCTGGCTGCTCCACTTTGGCCTTCCTGGCATGGTTGTACCTTGTGGAACGAAGTTCCAGCCAGTGTAGCCCGCGGGATCATTGCAGCACTCAAGCCCGACCACCACGTCAAGGTGGTAGCTTTAGGTCGGGCCACTAGCTTCTTAGTAACCAAGAGATGTGTGCGCGCTTTGCGTATGCCGGAAAAGCTCAATGAAAAGCAGCAGCGTACAACTGCATGGTCGGGGTCCACGCTAGTGTTCTAGAGTGGGCGGCAGGCGGTGATCGACCCTCGCCACCGATAACTGATGGCGACGTAGTCTATTTGGATTCGGGGCTGGCTTGTTTGTGGGCTTAAGCTGTGATCGGCACACATCTGAAGTAAACGATCCCCGTTTTCTTTGCCTCTCGTTTCCAATCCAGACAATCACCCGATCGGGCTTGAGCAGCGCTTAGTCTACCTACCTGGGCGTTCATGTCACCAACACCCACAACTATTTCTGGGCTCTTAACCCGTTGTAGGAGGGCACATAGAACACCTAGAGCGTCACAGAAACTGACCTTGGTAGATTCAGAGCCACAGCCAAGCAGACACGATAAACAAGGTGCGATGGACCTCACTTCCTCTAGATTCTCTCACAGATGTTGTCAAGCGAACCGCTCAGAGGCGACTGTCAACGAGTATCCAATCAAGCAGAGACGATTTAGCTCGGTCGCTCAATACAATACCCACCTCGGCATATCCAGCTGCAGCGGTCGCTGCGTAGCCGGAACCCGGAAGAGAGCGAGGGGGAGCAGTCAGTTCGATCATAGGACTTTCGTCCTGCATCCTTGTTTCTGACAGACAATATACATCAACGCAGAGAGAATCCAGCGTACGCGCAAGAGCTACCTGTTGAACTATTTGCTTGTGTGCGAACATTGAAGGTGGTTAACTAGACAGGCTTTCGGTGTTTGAAAACAGAATTCGAAGCGTTTAGGGTTGTAACTGAACTCGGACGTGCACAAGCTGCAGCTAATTATGATGTGGGGCGAGCAAAAACGGTCAATCCTAGAGCTGGGATCTGCGGAGAAAGCATTCAAATTTAGGTGGGGGAGGATGGAATACGGAAAACGTGAAATCGTAAGAAGGGAGGCCTCAGCAATAGTATGTTTTCACCTAATCGCCCTGCTGTATGCAACAAGGAAGGCGACCCGGCTGATGGCACCACGCGACGGCTGATGTATGGAAGTATTGTTAGCTGTAAGTGTCATGGTTGTACGAGGGCTGGGACACTGCCAGAGCACCCACACTCAGACAGGAGGACGTTTAGAGTCCTCAACCGAAGCCTTTGGCTCAAAAGCCCAACCACAAGGCAGTGATGTTGGGCCGGAAATGCAAGTACATTACCTTTTTTTACGGAACACGTCGCCATACATGTTCCAACCCTCAGCCTGGAGGGTCAGGGGACTGTGTTCGTCAGACGTCTGAAAATCGTTCATCTGTAGAACCCTTCGGTAACTGCCATGCCACCAGAAGGAACCACGAGAGCTAGGATACTTCCAGGTTGCTAAAGCCTAGACAAGAGAATTCGAGAGGCAGAGGTCGAACCACGGGCCTTCCGGTCAGTAAATTCGCGCTCCAACCACTGAACCATCTCGCCATACCCATACCCATTGACCAACCTAGCATGAGAGACTCTGTGAGTGTCGCGCGGACACTCCGAGTATGGCTCAGTAGGTCACCGGGGTACACAAACCACCACACCGCAACACAGTCCAGTCTCTTCTTTACAGTCTAGTCTGTTCGTGAAAAGATAAACCAGTATACTCAATCGGGTTGACAAATTCCGCCTTTCTGGATGGAGACTCGAATGGTCACTGACATTAGAAAGCATGGTTTGACCACGCTTTCAGTGGTGGTGCTACGCCGAATCTGTCGCCTTCAACGCGCAGCTAATGGGTTCTCCTTCTCAGGCAACTCGAACTATTAGACTTCATCTGACAGCTTATACCATAGTATCCAATCCTTGGCCTTGTCTCCCCTGCCATATTCCAATGAACATACCCTTGGCACTTGGTGAATGGGTGACAAAAAACTGTTCCTGGTTGCTGCATGAGCGTCTTTCAATACGGCTGAGTGGATTACTGAGGCAAGAACCGTCGAGCTGGGACAAGGTCCAGTGTGTTCGCGACAGGAAATATCCTTCAAGTTTGTAATTATCTCCTATGCTCCCTTTCAACGCTTCTAGTCGTGTAACTGTATACGACGGACTATGTAAAACGTTTCCTACGACAATCGGTGGATTTATGGTTTGCCAAACCCCTCTGAAACGATGACTTCCCAGTCGGTCCCAAACATTTTCCAATTGATTGAATGTCCTGGGTTATTATTCGGCTTGTGTTTCCATGAAACTTCAGGGGGGAGCTTGGTTTTGTTGACGGTTATGCGTTCCTGTCCCAAACATTTCCAATTGATTGAATGTCCTGGGTTATTATTCGGCTTGTGTTTCCATGAAACTTCAGGGGGGAGCTTGGTTTTGTTGACGGTTATGCGTTCCTGGACGGCCGCAGAATCTATGATTGTATTGTGATAAATAAAGTGGGGCGAGTTGTCTCAACTGGTTAGAGCGCGGATTTACTGACCAGAAGGTCCGTCGTTCGAACCCAACCTCTGCCTCTCGACTTCCCCTGTCTAGGCTTGGGCAATCTAGCAGTATCCCAGCCCTCGTGTGTTACAGCTGAACGATTTACGATAAATAAAGTCACAGCACGGGTTACCAAGACACAAACAACGCTTGTCAGCTCACATCTGGAATCAATTTGATTGAGATTCAACATTCATAGTTGCATGACAAGTATATAAACATATATATGAATGTATAAGCATTTTCAGTTCATGGTTGTGAAACTTATCGCCTTCGATCGGAAAATATTAGTCATCTTTGGATGTCTTGTCTTCGTAGCCTAACAAGGGTTGGCTGGCTACAATGTATCTGCGACAAAATGATGCGTTGCTGACCATTGAGCTATCAATTAGAATCCCTAAAACAGAAGTAAACCCTATGCGACTGTGATGCTTCGGACAGGTTCTACGCATTTTCAATCATCATCAGTCAGGACGAGCATTCTGTATTACAACTCCTTGCTAGCGAAATATGGAAACGCCGAAAAAAAGCGGCCGCAATCAGTTTGTGCTGTGGGATCTTGATGCCTTCCCAACTCTGGTGTATGTGGTCCTCGCGTGTTTATGGAAACCCTACAGGATATGATCAGCTCGATTGGTGGTATTTCTCCGTAACCAGACTGACTAGGTAAAGTTTGCCGATCGTTGAACGCTGGGCTTGTGCTTGGTGAAGGTTGTGAGGTATTAGATCAACCCCAGTGATGGTTATTTGTTATATGCTGGTTGATAGTGGTTGAAGGTACGAATACTACTTCCCTAATAGTTGTCTTCGAGGCTTTTACCCCAGGGCTTCTTTCTCCTTTCTGTTCACATTGTTCGTAGGCAGTTAGGTATCAGTATTTGGCACTGATGTATTATCGCCGACAGTAATGGTCCCCATCTGGGATGAAGATGACGATAACTGGTATGAAAAAGACGCTCGTGAAAAGTATTCTGACATGCTGTTAACACTCGATTTTAATTCTCCTGGGTTTATTCATGCTTTTGTAGCCTTGAGGCTGAAATCGTGAAACCCAGCGTTATGGATTCACATTGCGAAAGTTCATCAGATGAAGACACTTCAAGCAGTGAGTTGGAGGCACCACCTCCTCCACGACCGGTTGAAAAAGTAAGTTTTACGTTTCAGCTCATTTTTATCGTCAAGAAAAAGCCTCCCTTGTTCACCGTGTTTCCAGACTACGTACCGAAAATCCCGGAACGTGTGGTAAGCGAGCATTTATAATTATGCGGATTCCCTCTGTTAGAGTCCACGATGTCAACTTGAACCACTGGGGAAGGTGACAAGTGTTGTTGACGGATGCGGTGAGTTGGCTTGGATATGGACATTTTGTACTTCTTACTTGATTTTAGCTTTGCTCTCTAATTAACGCACTATTCTCTACACGTTGCCCCCAAAAGTGAACATAAAGTGACCTGGTTCTTCAAATTTTTTTGGGTGTCGCTGTAGGTTTTGATATTGCAGTGCTTACTCTTGAGAAAATTTATTTACAGGTAGCCTTACGCGGTGAAAGATTCTTTAGTTCCATTTTTTATCATTTAATCACTTTCGGAGAGAGACACTGAATGAGGGGATGCTTGATCAAATATCATTTGGTTTGATTTGGTCACCAGTGCTAACGTCTCAGTAGAAAATAAAAAAAACTGCTCAACTAATCAGGTGGAAGTGCCGATAACTCCAACGAATCTGATGAGTTTCACTTGAGCACTGATTGAGGGGGCCGTGCGTGTCTGACTACTTTCTACGGGTCTAACCCACGACAGACAGGGAATTTCGGTCAAAACTACTGTCTCCACCATGATGAAGCCGGTAGAATTGTGGTGAGCGTTGATTCCACGGTATTCTGATGCAAGTTCCACAGCTTCTGCTTTGACTTTCCGTTCTGTCACACAGGGCGCGCCAGTCGAATACGAACACTAACCAGCAGAAAAGAATGGAATACTAAATGGCGATGTCTTTGTAGAGCCATTGACTCACTGTGACGGTTGCAGGTTGGACTGATCAGTAGTGAAATGATCTGAAGTCCATCATAACGACAGTCAAGGCAGTTTCGTGCATTCAGATTGTCACCCCGAACTACATATATTTGAAGGATTTAAAACACCGTCGGTAAATTTTGTGAAATGACTGAATAACGAAGTAAATTGCCGAAGACAGTTTAACAGGCTCTCTAGGCTTTTTAACGGCGAACGAGATCCATTCTCCCATCAGAAAGGTAATTTCACTTGAAGAACCTTTCCGTAGGCGTTATGACACAAGTTGGGTAGGTTTGTTTTTGTTTCTGATTTCTTTATGAATTCTGTTCGCCTTCATCCACCAACCATTTGCCGCTCATCTCATTGGTTTCCAGTTATTATTCAAGCAGATGCTTCTGCACCCGTCATGGATACTGGATCAGCCTTGTTCCTTGAGGGTGGGGAGCCGCTGGGTGAGGTGAGTGCTTCCGAGACTCATTGTTTTTAGTCATCTGTATAAAGTCTTGATCGGTACTTTGTTATCCTAGTTACCATTATTTGTCATTTTTACCTCCGTGACACCGACTTCACTTTCTTCTAAATTGGACAACTTTGACCTGGTAGTAGCTTAGGGCAGTGTTGTTGGTAAATGAGGACAAATTGTCTGATTTTGGGTTACAATCCTTCGCCGTCTGGTGGTCAGACAGTACAGCACGAACTTTTGCGAGACCGAATTCCAATTTATAAATTTGTACTTGCTGACTTCGCTATCCACTAAAATTACGTGGACTTGTAAAGTTAGACTGCTTATTCTTTCACTAACAATTCGGTACGGTCGTGTGCCTTTTCTGACTGCTTCATGCAAACTTAAATTACATTCTGTGATGCACTCCAAACCGGGTTCGTTATTTCTAAATTAGTCGTCTTAACTCAGGCTGTTGTTGCTCACTTTCATACTGCTAAATTGCACTTTTGTGTGTAGGACCCAGTCTGATGGTGTAATGCAAAATGTTGAGCCCGAGATAGCTCAATGGTTACGGCGCGAAATTACCGATTCTAACGGAACCTCATCATTCTAACTGCTCCTGTCTGCGCTTGGACAACCTGGTAGTGTCTCAGCCTCCTTGATTTCTTCCTGTGGCATAGTAGCTAGATACCCAAAGGGTGTTTCGGCTGAACGATCACTTATTTATTTGCTGCAAAATATGACCATTTGCATTGACGAATCCGAAAGAGATCGTCATGGATACTTGATACGTGGATAATTCATGATACTTGCTTAGTTCGGATGTGTGAGTGGTGTTATTCGGCTTACTCTGAGTGTTCTGATTATGTACCTATGGTGTTCTTTTCGGAAGGGTTTAATAAACAATCGGTGGGTTGATAGCCGGTCTTGGTCAACTTATGCGGCTCTCAGGTTGTATTTCGTGATCATTCGTACACCGTTAGATAGCAGCTTAAATTCCCCACGAACACCCACTACGCCTGCGCTTGCATACTACTGTCTGATGGCCCATTTTATGGATAGGTGGCGTATACATGTACCATGGGAGTTATCTTCGCACAGTTTGCCTTTCACTGCCGAGACGCTAGGTTGATCTCGTTAACCTCTAGTTTTTTGAGATTTTTGGATAGGTCTTCGCAACCAGCCGGTAATATTGGGTGATATTTCCATCCTTGTCACTTAAGCTTTACCTAGTTTGATCCCGGTCCAGAGCTGATCGGAAGGCTTGGTTCAGTGTTGGGAATAAATAGATCGGTTTATCCCTTCTGCACCGAACAGAATGATCCAAACTCATAATCACCATCGACAGCGTAACATCAGTGTTCAACACTCATGCTTCGCCGCCGTACAGCCATGATTTATTTGGAAGCTTTACTATGAACAAAAGAATGAAAGTGGACGAGGAAGGGACTTAGTGCTAGCTTACTTCAATCATTCCGAGGTACCTTCACCTCCAGACACTCAGTCAGGCAATCTGGATAGAAACTGACAACAAGAACGCCATCGATACTTATTATCAGCCATATCTTGCAACGGGCATCACGCGGCTAGTCGCACTGACAGCACGGTCGTAATCTATTTCATACCCCTCGATCAGGCCAACGACTAGCCACCTCTGCTTTCGCTACTCTGAATTGGGCACGGAAGACAGCACTGTCATCGGCAAACAATGGTTCGGCATGCACAGTTATGTCTCAACCAACGCAGTTTCTGGTGTTATATACATTCTTCGATGGAGGTCCCTGTTTCACAGCCGAAAACTCGCTTTCTAGTTTCCTCGTTATGGATTCGCTGACACCAACCTACACGGGTTGTGGTCCTCAGGCAACGCTTATCGAAGACATAAAGGAATCTCAGTTGCGCTGCTCAAACAGGCCAAGTCTCACAGTCATACAATGAAACAGCCTGTACTGTAGTCTGATTCAGGGATATACGCGTTTGACGCCACAGGTGCCTCAAATGAACAAACACGACCCCAGGCTTGAGAATTCGTGCATTGACATCTATCACACTACAATCGGAACTGGCACAACATCCGAGATACGTAAAACGCTCCACTACTCTGTCTCTCCCTGGATCGTAACTGGCCTATTCAGTGACTGTATGCCCACGAGCATTATGTTACACCTAGTGGATAGAAAACGCATGCCAAAGGACAGGATGACTAGTCAGTTCATCCAAAAACACCTACGTCTTTCCCCTTTGAAGGCGAGAACGATATCGTCTGCATATTCCAGGTCAACGACGTTTTAGTAAGCAGCCATTTGAACACCAGGATTTTGAAGACCTTCCAGTGTTCGTCTCATTATCTCGTCAACCACGAAATTAGGTAGGAATGGCGAGGGTGGGCATCTTCGACGGACATGGCTTTGTGTACCGAAGCTTTTGGTGAGCTCTCCGTATACTCCCACACTCCAAGAAGTCTGGGAATACAAAAAACCAAGGCATTCCTTACCGGGCAACCGTGTTAAGGAGGCGTTGTTCCAGCACCTGACGGAGTGTGAAGATTTGATCAACGCAACCTCAACCAGGCTGGAGTCCTGCTTGCTGCTCTGGAGTCAGTGTTTCACGAATAACCGTAAGTCGACGAAGAAGTGACGCTAAAAGTCTCTCAACGTTCAAGCCAATCCCCCGTGTGAATACTGCACTCACTACGAACCCCTTCTTAAAAATGGACATGATTACCTATTCTCCTCAGTTGTCTTGGATAGTTTTCTTTTCCGAAACGCAGGCAAGCGCTGATTATGAAATTCACCCCTGTCTTCCAACACTGTGGGTTGGATATCATCACGACCAGGAGCCCGGTGGCGCTTGAGAGGATGTACACCATCATAAACCTCCGAGGCCGTAGGAAGAACCAAATTCACCGTCGGGGACTCTGTTGTAGTTGTAGAATGCAAACGAGTGACAGCGGGAGGCCATAAGAAGTGTTCGAAGTATTCGGATGGTCGAGGCGTTCTTTATTTGAGATAGTCACGCCACTTTGACCCTTCATGGTTTCGCTCACAGCCGGCCGCACGGAACAGCTGAAATAATCTTTGGATATTCCTGGCTTTCTGGGCCTCTTCCACTTCTTTAGTCTTCCAGGCTTCATGGTCGGTGCTCATTTTTACTTGATGTGTGATAATTCGTGAAGCCAAATTCTGTTCGGTACCGGCTCGGACTTTGTTCGGAGGTTACAGCAGCACCACTGTTGTGATGCTTCCTCACAGACGTTGCCAGACGAAGCGCACAGAGGCAACCATCAACGGGTATCTAGTCAAGCAAGAACCCCTTCTTAAAAATGGACATGATTACCTATTCTCCTCAGTTGTCTTGGATAGTTTTCTTTTCCGAAACGCAGGCAAGCGCTGATTATGAAATTCACCCCTGTCTTCCAACACTGTGGGTTGGATATCATCACGACCAGGAGCCCGGTGGCGCTTGAGAGGATGTACACCATCATAAACCTCCGAGGCCGTAGGAAGAACCAAATTCACCGTCGGGGACTCTGTTGTAGTTGTAGAATGCAAACGAGTGACAGCGGGAGGCCATAAGAAGTGTTCGAAGTATTCGGATGGTCGAGGCGTTCTTTATTTGAGATAGTCACGCCACTTTGACCCTTCATGGTTTCGCTCACAGCCGGCCGCACGGAACAGCTGAAATAATCTTTGGATATTCCTGGCTTTCTGGGCCTCTTCCACTTCTTTAGTCTTCCAGGCTTCATGGTCGGTGCTCACTTTTACTTGATGTCTGATAATTCGTGAAGCCAAATTCTGTTCGGTACCGACTCGGACTTTGTTCGGAGGTTACAGCAGCACCACTGTTGTGATGCTTCCTCACAGACGTTGCCAGACGAAGCGCACAGAGGCAACCATCAACGGGTATCTAGTCAAGCAAGATACATCCGCCCGGTGACCTAGGACGATACCAACCACTGTACATCCTGTCCCAGCTGCCTCTGGATCGCCAGAGGTGCGCAGCTGGAAGCGACTGCAGAGTGATAAGACAGTTAGCTCCGCCACTGTGCTTGCATCTTGACTCCTTGTTTCTGATACACAGCACACATCAATGTCAAACGAGTCCAGTGTGGGAGCAAGAGCAGCTTGTTTTCCTGCTTGCTTCAGAGTGTAGATATTGAAAGCAGACAGAGACTAGGCATCGAGGCTGGAGGCTTGATTTCGAGATGCCTGAGGATGTCGGCGCCGGATGACCCGAGGCCGGAGGCTTGGTTTCGAGATGCCTGAGGATGTCGGCGCCGGATGACGCGCAGATTTTGCTTGCAAAACCGATGCAGGCCGAATAGAATCATCAGTCCTAAGTGTTGGGCCTACAGCGAGGGAGTTATTGATGAGGTTGGGAGATGGGGAGGGAGAAAAATGGACGCGTCAGCAGTAGCCTGTTTTTGCTTACCTGCCCTGCTGTATGCAGCAAGTGAGGTGATGATCTGGCTTATGGTACTACGCGAGGGCCGATGTGGCATGAGTTTAGTTGTATGTGTGCAGTTAATGGTTGTACGTGAGCTTAAATATTGTCAGGGCGCTCAGAACCTGACAGAAGGACGATTGGGGTCCTCAACCAAAACCTTTGGCTCAAACTGTTGACCTCAAGGCAGCAATGGTTGGCTGATAATGTGGGTATATTCCGAATTTTGCAGAACAAGTTGTTATAAATGGTCCAGCCCCCAACCTGGAGGGTCAAGAGACTACTGGTCAGTCCTCTAATTATTGGGACACAAAAGCCGTCACAACTCACTAAGGTCCAGTCTCTTGTTGACGGTCCGCCAAATAACAAATCGCAATAACCGTCGCAAATACAAACGTCGTTATCATGTCTTTTGATACCTTCTGTCCTTTCATTGATAGGAGCTTGCACTCACTCCATCAACAGATGCTTGGTAGGTAAAGTAGGTACATCTTGGTCCTATAACTGCGGTGTAAACAGGTCTGATCATTAAGTGCGGTTCCTCATCCGATCTAGCACTTTCTTTCATTCGCAGCCACGTCTGTTTTACATTACTGTCAGGTTAATTGGTCGGATGGGCACCATCCAGTAACTAAATGTCTTTCCCGCAGGGCTGTCATGAATTATAGACTATAGGTTGTTATTACTGTGCTTTGCGGTTTTTCCATCGAGAACTAACATTGCATAACTATCTCTCGTTCTTTCCTATCGTGTCACTTCAGGTTTATGAAACCTTCGGTCCTGTGTCCAAACCCCGGTATATTGTTGTTCTCCCCAATTCACTGTGTTTGATTAATACAAACACCAGCAAAAGTAGAGGCAAATCGCACCGTCGACGGCATCCCGTAACAGAGGTCGTCGTTTTGGATTCTGACCTCGAGCAAGAGGCCCAAACAACTGGATCTTCCCCAAACCTTCCAACCAATCAAGCTAACGATACCACGATGGATGAGAACTTAAGCTCTGTCACAGATCTGCTGGAACGTAATCCGTGCGACGCATCTCTCCATGAGGGCATGCAGTTGTGTGCGAACACCAATGATACTCCGGGTGATCACGACGACATCCCTGCTAAAGGCTTACAGCAGTGTCCGGACAATAATCTTACTCTGGACGGCAGCAACAACATCACCTCCACTGATAACTGCTCTCCAGACGCGTGCATAGATGCTGCGTGTCCGTCTGTGTCTGTAGAGGACACTGTTTACTACGTGAAGGACAACCCTGAGTTATCTATTCCCGTATTTTATTCGCAGCTAGTTCAAATGAAGGGGTCTGATGCATCCTGGGTTGGAGACACGGAACCACCTCCCGAGGTAAATTCCCGTTCTCCGAATTCTCTGCTGAACTATCAATCGCCCGCCCTATTTCATGATAATAATTTTCATTGCTTTCGAGATCTGATGTGTTATGAGTCTACATGAGTACCTTGAGGTATCAGCCAGGTTTGCCATACTAGGATGGAAGGTATACTTGATATTTCGCTCACAAAGAGCACAAAAAGGACTCATGGAAGCACTCGATGGACGCGTTTTATACGATACTAAATGCCTATCAAAGTGTAGTGCACTGTCGTTCTTGTTCCCCAGTACTTTCATTTTGAATCAAGAACAAGATCCTGCCACTGCTAGCTGTTCTCTAACCTTTAGGTCTTGTTTGCTGAGCGGTAGCCAACAGAAAGTGATTGTTCACACATCGGCTATAACTTAGGATGCGTAGCAACCAGAGCAAAGGAAGGACATTCTATCACTGTTATGTACTCACGCTTCCCATCGGTTTCGAGCATCCTTTTACAGCTTTCACGTTGTTTCCCTCTATACCGCCGTTTCCCTGACGTTTTTATCCCTCAGCCAAATCAATTTTATTGATCACACCGGGCCCACGCACTAGTGCTCTGTGTAGTTATGGTAGATAGTTCCGAGCAAGAACAAACACCTGAGTTCGACTTGCTTCTATCTCATCATCCCATCGTTTTTGTGATGGGATGGGATGTGATGTCGACCAAAACCCCCAATTAAGCAATGGTAGTCATTCGGTACTATCACGGCCACCTTGCCGGCCGTCATGTACGCATCGATGGTGATAAATCGGATAAACGCAATAGCAGAATCAGTACGGGGCATGCAGCAATCATTTTGAAGGTCATTTAGGTGAAAAAGTCCGGAAAATGACTGGCAGTTTTCGGAGGGCATTTTGAGTACAAAGCTAGTTGCCACTGCTTGGACAGTATGTTGTGTTTGTTGGACGGAAAAAGACTAACGCATACCGACGCAGAGGTCTGAAAATCGCTTTGCATACAGTGGTTCGTATTCATTGCAAATGTCTGATTTGGTAAAGAAAACGGAGCAAATATGTTTTGTTTCATGTGTAGAAGAATGTTAAGAATTGTGAAATGAGGCTTCTTAGGGTTTGCAATCCTCTACAACGTAATTTTCGCGTACCGTCTGTTTTTTTTCGAAAAAAGAATGACGATACGAGTGGCAGACTCATTTTTGTCCTTTTTTTGAAATAATCAGTTGGTAGCTTTATGATTTGTCAGGCTTCCCAAGACAACCGAGTTTGCTAGTGCCGTGTTTAGCAGTTAATACTTTCGAATTCGCGTGGACAAATTATCGTTTTCTCGCAACAAATTCTGCTGTTGAGACACGAAACGATGTTCTTCGTTTTCGTTCGTCGAACCCGTAATACGTGAATGCCACAAGTTAACTCATCGAGCCTAATGGAAGTCTTGTTGCATTATGGTGTGTTCATGAACATTCATGAACATCTTTGGACCGTAAACATCCTCCTACAAATGGCAGCCGTGTCAAGTCAAGTAACGTTTGTAAACGCAATAGTTTGGTGAGGGCAAGGCGCCAGTATAGCAGTCAAAAACTTGTGTTCATCCTCTCACCCAATTACACTGTGTTTTGCAGATGTTTTCATTTAATTATCTGTGACTACCTGTACGTGTTTCCACGACACTATTTGTCACGGAATTTTTTGGCTACAACTGACGTTCGTCACCAGCTTTTAACGTCAAGTGGTTTTCGGAACCTATGGAGTCAACGCATTTGGTCATTGATTAACCTGGGAATTGGCGGTAGGGAAACTTAGGGGGCCGGAATTAATTTTCCCCACAACATTTCCTCAGTTTTTTCAAGCATTGATGTATAACCTGAGGCACGCGGCATTACTTTACGCCTAATGTGTTGTCTTTGAAGCAAGGTTCATGAATTGTCTACTTCGTCATCATTTTAATTAACTTGACATGATTCTACTCATAAAGCCGATGAAAACTCTGGACAAGACAGTACAAATTTTCCTCTTAGGACTCATCAGATAGGTCTAGTCCTCAAATTTTAGTCATTGTATCTATAAACGAGAAATTCAGTCGAATACCAGTCAACATCTATGTATCTTACCGTGTAGAACTTCTCAGTGACTATGTAATATTAACCTTTAATCACACCTTCCGTCTCCACTTATCGCCCGAATGAAGTTAATCTAACTTGTAGAGTCACCTGTGTTATGCAATCAAGCTCGCTTCTGTCTGCTCTCATCCTAGACCAGCCTATTTGTATTCGACGTTGAATCACAGACTATCTCTGTCCAGCTCCACATGATTGAGATTCTGAGACATGCTTCTGTTGTCTGGTGAATGTAGATTTTATCTCAGCTTGTTATTTTTCATGACTTGCGCCTCTTGATATGATGGTGTTCGCTATAATGAGCGCAAGCTTTTACTCTTCACCCAGGTAGCAGATGATTCAGCTTTTTCCCATTGGTTTCAGTATGTTATTCATATGCCACTTTTTTGGGATTGCCGTGGAGGAATCAGGTGTCACTTGGATTTCGTAGGTCGTGAGATACCGCCTTCAAATGTAGCAACGCATACCCTCAGAATGAAGTTCCCTAACCTTCTTAGCAATCGAAGCAGCGAATAATCAGTTTCTCTTTCTCTGATGTTTCATATTCCCATAGGAACTGGAGTTTTCCGATGACGAGCAGGAACGCCTCCACAAACGAGCTGTACGTGCCAAACGCCGCATGCCGGCCACTGGTAGGTTGAATCAGCTTTCTATATTTTGTTTGGTTTTCTGAGCCTTCCATCTATCGTCTTCTTGGACTGATTATGCAGATGCCTTCCCTTCACTGACTTTTTACTTTAGAAAACGATACTACTGCTGCCATCGCAACTTCCGCATCGCAAACACAGGCTAATCGCTTGACACGCAAAAGTCGGCCTACACGGCCAGCCAACAAAGGGTTTCCAGCTGGCCGCAACTCTACTATATCGGAAAGAAGTTCGAACGCGGTTACAGGGAGTCCTGAGTTCTCTCCTGTATTCCAGCCTTTTGGCGTACACGCACCACCGTTTACCGCACCACTGCCATCGCAGCCCTTCTTCAGTCCGGCATCTGTCAGTTTCAACCAACCACCGAGTTTGCCTCCCTTCAGTCAACCAGGGCCATTCTCTGCCTCCCAGTCGTGTTCTCCGCCATTCTGTTCAAGACCCGCAAGCGCATATGTGCAGACTTCCCCTCGTCCTTTTACGGGTGAGTATGGTTTCGTTCGTTATCCCTCTTACGAAAGTCATCATGAAAAAGCTGCTATGTAGACTGTTTTCCGGCTCATAGCACATTTCTCGCTCTGTCACTTAGTTCAGGAATCAACTTTCTACGATGTTGCGTTTGCTCCTTAATTACCCTTCATTTGATGTTGTTTCCCGTTTTTGTGCGATTTTAGCGGACATGCCTAGCAGATACTTCAGACTGAGAGCGTGCAAGAGAAATGTGCAAGTGATGATCCGGAGAAGTTTAACCGTTTTTGAAGAAACGAGTCACTTAAGGAATAAGTCAGAATCTCTCAGGAAACATGTCTGACAACCCAGTTACAACATATTGTTTGATTGAAAACAGCAAGAAGACACGTCTTTCGAATAACCTCAATAGATAAACAGAATGACTTGCATGCTAATTGCGGCAAGCGAGTTTCGGTGTGTTATAGCTTGTGCATAAGCACATACGGACGAATGGAATGTAGACCTTGATCTCTCATCAGAAGGAGAAATAAAGTACGAACTGTTCTTACTGAAACGTGACAAGGCACCAGGACCGGACGGTCTGTATCCAGCCCTCTTCAAGGAAGGCGGAGATCCCCCTGAAAAAGCTTATTGGTGCATCAGCCTATTAGCTGTAGTATCGAACGTACGCTCTGGCCTTATCCTTCGATGGTTGACTGAACACAAGAAGAGACAGATCCGTGAAAACCAAGCTGTGTTTCGTCCTGCAAGAGGGTGCATCTGTCATATATTCACCCTCCGACAGAGTCTGGAACAGCGACACTGCTTCCAGCAACCAACAATGGTTGTTTTTCTTGATCTGAAAACTGCCTTTGACTCTGTGGACCGTCAGACACTATGACAGTGTCCGTGGAGAAAAGGTGTCCCCCATAAATTCTTGACCATCCATAAGGCGCTGTAAGTCAACTCCCGCGGACGTGTGAAAGTCTACGGGAAGCTCTTACCTGAGTTCACCACTTCAAGTGGTGTCTGACAGGGTTGTTCTCTTTCACCTTTCCTCTTCAAATTCTTCATTGATACGACCATTGAAGACTCACTACCAGCCTCTAATGCCTGTGGGTTCGGAGCGCTCACTCGGTGTCCGCTCACATATGTTCATTACGCAGATGACATAGCTCCTCTTGGATCTGACCCCGTGGCAATGCAAACAACATTAAATAATCTAAATAATTCTGCCTCGCGGTTCGGCATGCGCCTCACACATACCAAGTGTAAAGTACTACTGTAAGAATGGGTTGGCTCTAACCCTAGCCTCGTGCTTGCGGATGAGCCGATTGAGGTACTAGACAAATTTGTATATCTGTGCAGCTGTATCAGTCCTGGTGGTGGTGGAAGCGAGGCAGAGGAGGTCAAATAATAACCTGGCAGCGAGGTGTGCAAGTCATTACCCGCAAGCTCAGCTGCTCTGGTCATTGCCGTTTTTCTGGATGGGGACACCGAGACGGGACATATCAATGGTTAAAGACATTGTTAAACATAGCCCAGTCGCGTCTTCAGTGGCGCTCATGCATCCAAGCTATTACCTTCAATGCATAGCTCCCTTTCCAATTCCCCCACTTAACAATCCACTGACTGCTGTATTTACGTACCAATTTATCATCTCCCACCACCAATTCTCAGCTACCTACCCCACCCACATGGGCGTCCTCAAGCTGTATGTTGGTCCTTGTGCTGATGACGTGTACACATCTTTTAGAAATAGAGACGTGAGACGCTGCGTGAAGCCGTTTGAAGGCAGTGTAGTTGGTGATGTGAGAACTAATACACTGTAGCTACTGCTATCAGAAAGGTGGTAACTTATTGATAAAGAACCGCAAGAATCATTTGGTGTGGTGGACACCAAGCGGTTAGTGTAAAGAGGTTATGCTATGCTCGACGTTAGCTCGTAACCATGTTTCGAAGGGGGGCACGTCGAGGTTTCACTGAACCATTGGCATCCGCTATTGTACGGGAAAAGCCCGAGGTAAGACACCGCTTTTGACAATAACGAATGAAAAAAGTGGGGCCTCTTATAAAGTTATTACTTATTCTTTCTGGTGTCTAAGAATAATCTCATTTCTGTTTGTCAAATACCAAATAGGCCGAGAAAGTTTGTGAAATCACATTCTAACGATAGAGTGTATCTGGTAAGAAATCCACAGTGATTGATTTCAGTGACGTATTGCATGTTTCGAGCCCTTTTTGTTGTTGGTTTTCAGTTTTTTTCACTGTTGAATTCATGTTCAGTCTTTTAAATGCTTCTTCGCGTGTTCCCCAGTGCACTCGACCCCTAGTTTTTTTTTAATAATTTACTTTCGATCTTTCCAGCATGGCCCCGTTTTTCCCCTGATTCCATGGGCGCTATACAATCATTGGATGTCGCTGCCGACTGGCCGCTAAGCGCGTACCGAAATCCCGTGATGATTTCCCCGCCTCTATGGTTCGGACAGGTCAGAACAGAATATCCAATCAGTGCGACAACTCACGGCATCCAATCCGTAACTCAGGCTAGTCACAATGCACCTAGCCAGTGGACCTTACCACCTCCTGCATTTGCACGCCACTCCTTTTCTACTGATTCCCTCAGTTTCTTTCCGCTCAACGTATGATGCCGAGTAAGTATATTTCGGACCTAACCCTAGCGTTTTGGATGGTCTCCCTCTGACTGCCATGCATCATCTGTTTAAGCCTGGTTCAAAACCTGGTGCTCTTCAACGAGAGTTTCAGCTGGGATTTGGTTGAGTCTCCCGTCAAAGGCCAGACTAGTGTGAGTCTAGTTCGTGGTCAGCTATTACTTCACACCATATCGACCACATATCCTTTTTGATTTGACTCTAAAGCCTCTATGACTCTATGAAGCCGTTTTATCCTTCTTCTTTCGGGGTTTATATCGTTTCTATTGCGTTTTGGATTGTAGCTTTTCCCTGCGTGTGTGAATGGTTTGGTTTGTTTTTCCAATCGATCCTTATTTTGTCGGATTCTTTTCTACAGCTGTGAACCTTCCAAAGATTTGTTGAGAGGTTTTCTTCGAAATGGCGTCCATCGTTCACCTTCCTTTTTCAAACCCTTGGAATTGTTATGCGGTACTCATTGTGATACTGACGACACTCCTTTCGGGTAGTCGATTGTTCTGGCACAGGATTCCCCTCTCAAGGAATCGATTCCCCAAGATGAAGTTTCTGGTTCCCGAAATAATTGACTTACCTCCTCCCGCCTAAGAGGAAGCATTCTAATGCAATGCCCTTCGTTCGAGATAGCTCAGTGGTTAAGGCGCCAGCTTACGGACCTCAGCATCTCGACTGCTCCTGTATAGGCTTGGCCAGTCTGGCAGTATCTCATCCCTCGTGCCTCCTTCCGTTGTCATGGTAGCTAGGCGCCGAAAGGGCGCTACAGCTGACCGATTCTTTTCGTTCCCTGACCCAGATGCACGGGCCGGCAGTCACAAAACCATTTCGCACCGCCAGAATCGCTGCCACATTGTTCCGTGATATCAAAATCCTGTTCATGACCTGTCTTGATCGATTTTTTAGCACAGGGCTGGTTCATGCACGTCACGCAATATGAATACTTGTTGGTAGTGTGAGGAGATTTGAGATTTTTGTGGAGATTTCGTCCTGCAAGTGAAGCCAATCTATGCTGAAAAGCCGAGAAGCACTGTATAGCTGTTTCATCCTTATTGGGAATCATCAGCAGTGCGCATCTCACGAATACTCATGAATACTTGTTATTGCTTTAGTCTGCTTCCGTGTGGTGTATGCAAAGCTACTGCCTGTCCGGGACAGTCAGTTTTCGAACTGAAAAATTGTGCCCACCCTGTAACGACTCCCACTCTAATACAACTGTAACTATGCTCATTTATCGTCGCCTAAGACTTCTCTCCTGCCTATAAAAAGACCATATCTCCATTGCTGCCGAAATCGTTTGGCTTCCCCAAGGTCGAAATAGGTGGGAGTATCACATAAATCCGGACTCTTCATGCGTGTTGGTTCGTGAAAGTTGGACCATTCCTGGAATATCACTTAATGTGTTTGGGGTTTGGAGACATCAGTGTTTTTGTGACCCACGATTTCTTCCTTGAACTACTAAAACTCCCTGATACAAACCGGCTTACCAAGTTATCTCTACAGAAACTTTGGTCGTTATTAGGCTTAAAAACTGTGTTGTTCACCGTGAGATCTATGGAAGAGTCGCATACAGTTACCTCTCATCGTATACCCACGAAAAAATTCGAGGTTACTCTATTTTCCCCTTTTCCTTCCGTTAGATCCTCTACCTGCCCATGCCAGAATCAACACTAACGTTGCACCTGGAATGACCCTGAATGAGTGCTTTTATCCGGTACGCTACTGAGATTCTACCTGCTGTATGTGATTTGCAAACATACATCGTTGCTTTAACCTCTTGACTTGTACCTCCTTGAAAGGAATAATCGGTTCCACGGAGTTTTTGAAACAGTGTGTTCCGCTCCTCACGTTAATTGGATGGTCGTAAAATATGAAGTATGTGTAAAGATTTTCACGTTGATGTGTTTGTGTAGCATGTTTATCCCAGTCGCTCTTAAAGATCGAATAGTCCACTGGATTTTTCAAAATTCACGCAACGCCGTCCAAATACTATTTTGAAGGCATCCCGGGTCTTATTCCATCGTTTAGGGACACCACTTTTAAGTTATCTCAATAGCTGCTTTTACATCTATCAGTGTGAAGACGCGGCGGGGCTTTGCAGAACCTGAGTCGCTCGATGCGTTTTCAAAATATCCAGCCGACACCACACGTGCGCGCACATTTCGCCTGTAGCGCGATGTATGAGCGACTCTGTTAGATTCTAGTTGTTGCGTACGACCGAAGGTACGACATCTCTTTATTACTTAAGGGTGATCAGGGCTGATATCAACAGGGTGGACGACCCAGAAACCACGTACACCTGATGCCATAGTAGAGGTAACAGACGCAAGATCCTGTACGATTCCTGTAAGAAGAACCGTCGCGCCTATCAAACCTGAATGGACACCAGGTTAAACACGAAAAGCTGATCCGTAATTTCGTCAGTGACCGGCTGTCTGCGACGAGACCAGTTCGGTCGTCTGATATGTTATAGCGTTTTGTCGGTACGTAATTTCGCATAACACTACTGCAATGTGATTTTTTCGGAGTATTTTCAGCCTCGCGGCACTCGTGTTTCTGCTGATGGACAGCCTATTACGTCTAGTTTCGCGCGGAAGTCGATAGACACTTTTGTGGGAGCTGGATTCATGTGGTAAGTCAGAAAGACTGGCCGGTCTCAAAGCTTCACTAAGCTACTTCTCTCACGTAACTGCATTACATTGGGGTTCTGTCATCGGGCTTAGTATCGTAAACTTCGGAATGTTGTTTGAAAATAGTCATGAGTATGGGCTCTGAGCTGGGACACTACCTATGGAGTCGCCTGGCGTACAACGCCGATTTTCCCCAAAGTTCCGGTCCCAATTGCATATGGCTGTATTCCACTCTGGGCAACTTCAAATGTGCAGTTGAGGCTTAACCTAATTGTCCGCGCTGCTGGTTTCATTTGACTGGAGTACTATTTCTGACCAGTAGAGTCTATTTAGTGAGCTAGTTTCCGGAAGTTGTGAAAAAAACAGGTAGTGGAGACAACCAGTTTTAGACCAGAAAAATCCACTACTCCAAACTGCTAAAGAATAATGCAGGTATAATAAGAATTGCTGAATGATTTGAGTTGTGTCATGCTAAGGAGATTTCAGAATAGGCCTCAGCTTTTGCTCAGCGCACAATACATGCATAATTGAGTGCTATCTAATATGGAAGTCAAGCAGGTGAGATCTCTCGCTTGCTGCCCGCGGGCTTTGTCAGTGCCACTCACTGACAAACCTATCGGCCAACTGTTCATGTTTAACCTGGTGTCTATTCAGCTTTGGTAGGCGCGACTGTTCCGCTCATTCGCCTGAATCGCACGAGATCGTATGCCTGTTTACTTCACGTAGACACCAGGTTTTACGCGAGGTTTTGGGTCGTCTGCCCACTTTGAAACAGGTCAAAGTCGCTACCGAGAGATAACGAGATCCTCCCCTTATGTGCCACACCAATTTGAAGGTCATGACTGGAGTCGCTGGTACAGCAAATCTTGCACGTGTATTTTCATGGAGTGTATCGACTAGGTACTACAAATTAATGATCAGTCTGTTTTTTAAGAGCTACACAGCTGGTAGGCTTTTGTTCCTAAGTACACATCCATTTCACTTGGTTTCCAGTTGGTACCATATGTGGGTTATCGCTGTGTAGTTTGTCAGTTGAACTCAAGTTCTGGGGAACTGCGTCACACTGGTGGGTTCCAAGAGGGGCATAACCAATCGAGAGCTGTCAAAGGATTTTCAGCAACCTATTAGGTAGTATGTCCCTTCAAGAACATGGAGGCTTACTTTTCACAGAAAATGATGCTTTTTAGTACCACCGACTGTAACCTAGTCTCAAGTGTGACCGTGTTCGATCAACTGGAAAATTTGTTTTACACTTCACTGGCATCCAGTGGTTGTCCACTACTGATTGGTTGTTTTTTATCAAACCATCATGCGATGGAGCAGTTTAGTTCAATCTGCTGCCAATGAATTTTCATTTTCATTCACTTAACCAATTAGTCAAAAAAGTGGAACATTGCACCACTGTTTGGTAAGTGGTATCATGCCTGCTTACTCATTTGCATGCGACCACATCTGTAAGGAATTCAGTACCCTAAACTTCAAGTTGATGTTTCGTTTGTAACAAATGTTGACTAGTGGTCGGAGGTCGAACGAACGGGCACCTGGGTCACAACCATGTGGGTCGTCGAAACACTTAAGTCAAAGTGCCTAGGCCTTTAGAACCGTTTGCTTCATGTGCAATTATTTAACTGGATAATGGGTTTTTTGTCGGTGTGCCATTTTGGCCGTGGCAACAGTAATGTGACCAATGCCCACATGCGGTGTGGTTGACAATGAGCCTGAAGTGTCGTTCGGTGTCAGTATTTCACTGTTCCGTTCTGCTTTGATTTTATGTTGAACAGGATGTTGATAGCTCAGGTAACGCAGATGGTTTTGCAACGATGTAAGTTGTGGCAGGGATACAGGGAAAGGCTAATTGCTTGTATCTGACAACTAAATAACGGTAACCAAATATCGCATCTTTTGTCCTCACTGCTGGGCTGCAAAAATCCCCTGCTCTCCGCCGTCGGACACCTCTGCCCGACTTTGATTTATTTGTCAATCTCACGAGAGTTAATTTACATCCTGTCCGTAAAGTTGTAGATGAACAAGTACATACCAAAATATTTGTTACTGATATTGGTCTTGATGCATCATTCTCTTGATGTAAGACGACGGCGTTTCGTGAGTTCAGTTAATACACCGCAGCGGTGAATTTCCTCTTGCGATAGTTCAGTAGAGCAGATTAACGGCTGCATTCTCCCCTAATTGCAGTGAAGTTGAGACATCTTCACGACAAATACTGAGTAAGAGAAACAACAATAGCATCACTGCTGCACTTCCTGTCCTTAGTTGACAGCTACTTACTTAAGTTGAAAGCCACAACTTGTGCACAATAATCTTGGCATATGTGCATGACCATATACAAAATTCATCACCGAAGAATCCTATAATAACAATAGTCAGTTCTGAATGTGCTTTTGTGGATGGTAGGATTGATGGTTCATAAGTCCTTGTGCACGTTTGTCAGTTTCTAAATAAAGGCTTCGGGCAAGCTGGCAGTACGTCAGCCACTTTGCTTCTTTCGGATGACATGGCAGCTAGGCACCGAAAGATAGCTGATCATAGGAAAATAAGCCGTCCAACCAATCCGTGAAAGTTGTCCGTTTGAACCAGATATGACTGCTCGTCTAACGAGCTGTGAAGTAAACAATACCAGCTTACTGCTAATGAATGGTCTGATACAAATCCTGATGACTAACATACCGAACTCTCGGTACCCGACACCACTTGATGCACTGTAATGGGGGCAATGAAACAGTGTGAACAGTTCGTAATGACTGCGTCGGTAGAATTTACTTGGTCCTCGATTTGATTATATCCGTTCTTTCCTCCTACCATTCAGCTGCCAGCTTAGTGTAAATTCACATCTGCAACATTTCACACGTTTCTCCAAACATGGTAACAGAGTGTGCTTTATTTTTGTCACTGGTTGTACAAGGGCTTTCCGTGTGTTTCTGGAGGTCATATCTGGTAAACGGCATTATAGGGATTTGAGTAGCGAATGGAATATGTTGTAATATGTATGGACATAAGACTTAATCATTAGTTGCCAGATCATGTGAGGGGTCTTTTCTTCTTCGGTCGAATCTCATAATTCGGTTGACTGGGTAAAAAAGATTGACGTTCTGATCGACCCCGCAACTTTAATTGTTCCTGATACGAAGATTGGGGCATTCGCAAGAGCGTGTATTAAAAATACGAACCTATAAATAATAGGAACATGACACGGACATTGAGATTATCAATAAGAAACTACATAATGGATATACGAAGTTGAGCGCATACTATCACAGACACTCGGGACATTCGTCTGTTATGGAACAGGTTCTTTGGGAAACAGAATGCGAAGTGCATTTTTCGTGGACAAAAGCAGACCGACTCCGACGGGGACAAAAAGTGGTACGTAAATTCCGAACTTCTGATCCTCCTGTGTGAGCAATAACAGAAGAATAAATGATGATCGATGGTATAAACCCATCAATTAGTGAACAGTGGTAAACAGAAGGGAACACACGTGATTCGTCCCGTAAAAGTGTACCGAGGAAGCATGCATAGTTGGGTGTGATAGTTATGCGTAATATCAAACCAAGAAGTCGCCTTGAGTGCCCGTTAACTTATCAGAGGGTAACTACGGAAAACGATAAAAGTGTCCCAAAGTGAGGAGCTTTCTTTCAGAAGGTTTCACTGGTAGGTACCTCAAAAATCCGGAAAATACCAGTTTGACTACACAACATTGAGCAGGCACACAAAACGGTTACGTTAAGCGTTTTTTGCTTCCTGGTAGATTACTGAGGTATCGCACAATCTGCGTCACAACCCCGTCATATTGGGAGACGGCTATGCTAACATCAGTGATGACCAATGAACACTGTCAGTTAACATGAGAGTCTCACCCAACGCAAGACTAGCGGAGCATTCAATTGTTTATCAGAAATTCTCATTATTCTTTGTTTTCGTAACGTAATCGGATGAAAGCGGTACACTGGAAAACCATCCTACCAAGTGCGACGTGTTCGTTTGACATTGGTCTAGGAGATTTAAATCCTCCAAAGGTGGCATTGGGGTAGCAAAGCAACGGGTCGAGTGAATCTTTTATGGACAACTCCGCACTTACAGCAACCGATCCCGAGAGTTTCGTTTCGCGAGAAGCTTGTTTGTATGGTAGTTGACCTTGCCTTCAGTAGATCTGAACGGCTTCGGGATTTATCATGCTGACTTGTGGTCTGCGATGATCGGTTCCTATTGCCCTTGCCCAGTTTTCTGCAGAATCCGCATGGTGAAAGTACTCGTAGTTCGATACTAGAGATAACAAAGACTAGGGAATTTATAATCTTCACTCTTCCTTTTTAACCGGTAGAATGTCTGTGATGTGCTCAGCTGGTCCTCAGTGATTTTGTTTGGACGACTGTGGATGAAACATGAACACATCCCAGGTAAACGCCATAAGATGAAGTCGCCTCGAATACTAATTACTAAGCCAATCGCATTCAGAGCTTGAGCTCCACTGAAACGCACTTCACGTCCGTTATGAATGGCTTACCGCTCACTACATTCTACTGCATCCTCGCCTTGCTTTAAATATTTCCTCCAAGACAGAGGGGCGATGGATGTTAAGGGTTTGATTATTCGGAAGAGACCATATTCCAAGAATTTAGACGCTACAGATAAGGCTACTTATTTAGGAGTTCCGTGCAGAAATCAGCTCAAAGAGTGTTAAAAAAGATTCAGCGCCATGTGGTGTATGGTAAGGGTTTTTTTTAAAAAAAATAATTATGAAGTTAAACAGCATAGTGGAATAGGTTGTTGTAATCCGACCTTTCGGTTGCCGTGGGCGAGCTTTCTCAGGGATTTCTACAATTAACTGAATACGAAGCTACTTATTCCGAAAATAGAACACGTCCAAGTGGCCCCTTAGGGCGCATTTCTCCAGTAAAGACATTTTCACAAGAGATCACTTTTAGTCGATCTTTTGAGGTGTTCTACTAAGAAGAGATAAGTGTAAACATAGGTCGACGAAGCGGACGACCATCATACATCTCCCAACAGATTCCAAGCAAAATATCTAGTACGGAAATAAACATCAAACAAGCATCGAACAAAAAGTTGGTAGTAAGAAGTTAAACGTACCTGGAAGTAGAGACGACCTAAAAGCGTGTGGTCGAAAAAGGCACTATCCACTGAACTCAGACTGTCCTGTGCACGACTGAATATGCCACCGAAACCTGTGGTATTCGAAAGATGTCTAACACTTCGCAGATCATCCAAAGTTTGCGCCCATATATTCACCGAAAGCGTTACCTCGGATGCGACATAATCATTGACAACCATATTGGGGAAGCGTGAAAGCAGATCCACAAGAGCCGTCATTGTCATGCGAATAGATAGCAAGCTTTCCACAGTGCGACGAAGGAACCAACTGTCGAGCTGGACAAAGGGGAGTGAAACACGCATTTGGATATACCGCAAATCTTGTTTAAGGAATGCCACGTGAATGCTACAATTTTCTCTCAGGTCTTAAGGTCTGTGATCCAAAATCACCAGATATCATCTGTTGCCTGTCCCAGCAACTCATTGCCGCAGTTTGTGTAATGAAAACCCAATACTCATTAACCAGATTTGGTCTTCTACGTGAATCTGACAGCTTGGACTGAAAACGGTTGCTCGGTCTGACTGATACCATGGGCTTATTGACTGTAAGCACAGTAGGAAAAATAAGCTTATACTCATATTTACTTAATCTTGAAATAAGATTATATTATCGTCCGAAGAGCTACCAGAACCCAACTTACAGGAGCTCTCGATCAATAGCTAACATCTGCACATGCTTCGCTATACGCTTATTTGCGGACTTATGTGGTTTTGACGAGAAACTCAAATGAATCCAGCTGAATCGCTTGTTTATGTAGCCTTCATTCAACTGAATGTACTGAATAAGAACGCCTCATACTTCAGGCGGTACTATATTCGAGATATCGCGGTACACTACCTAGACGTTACTCACAAGATTGCTGAAAACTCTTCGACTGTTGTATACAACTGCATTAGCAGTCATATCCAGCGCCTCCAGAGTAGGCGAGCTCCCAAAATCAACTAGGTCAGAACCTTGTCCTACTCCACACAAAAAATCGAACTCACCTCCCAGTGATCTACTTTTCCAAATCGATCGGGTGATGGAATAGCAGGGTTGAAACGAACCAGTGATTGTGTGGTCTCCCTGAGACCCAGAAGCGAACGAATCACTGTGATGAGTTGTCGCTTGACAAGTGCAGCCCTATGGCCGTGTTGTGTACATGGTGAGGGGGCACCAACGGAAAAGAGTCCACCCCACTGCGGTACAACAGCCACATCCGTTAGGGTTGATTCTCCGGAAGGTGTGGGCAGAAGAAACTTGAGGGGAAGGGGACAATCTGATGAAGAATCATTCGCCACTCCCGAATTAAGTGGCATAGCCAACAGAAGAATGAGATGGAGCCCCGGTTTTGTGCCAGCCATATCCCGGGTGGCTGCCGATGCAGTCTGGGGCGCACCCAGAAAGGATTCCAGCTGGTTAACAACATTAGACAGATCATCTGCAGTATAATACCGATAAGTGTAATCCTCACTAAGACGGCTGGAAAAGAGAGGGAACAAATAAAATGTAAGTGGCGAAAAGCTTGTCGCCCAATACATACACACACAGCTTGGTGACAGCCAAATTAAATCGACAGTACAGTCGAAGATGATTCGACATAATGCGGACAGAAGAAACCGATCGACTTGCTTGGACATTGGCGTTCGCGGAGTTGGACAGGGTAAGCCCACCAACATGTAATATAATGCAATATATAGTTCAATAGTTAAGGTGTGAGCTTGTCGTCAAGTCCAAGTCGTCATACTACCGCTTGGGTGTTTCGCACAGTAACTATTTATTAGTTTCAAGAATTCATGGCCGAAACACAAACCAACAAGCAGTAAAGAAGTATTAACAGTGTAATAATCAGTTGGAGTATCGTGAAACATCGAAAACGAGGGAGTCATTCGAATCTCCCACTGACGTCCGCCTAGGATTCAAATTAATAATTTATGCAGGAGCTCATCACGTAGGCGTGGTCCTCGAGCTCCAATGTGTGTGTACTCTACTTGCACATCAAATTGTACGCTAGTGTCGAAGTAACCTCGTTTGCAAATTACACTGGTGTTTGCTAGAAACCCAGCTGAATTTTCCGTCCATGATAACTTCCGAATGGAAGTGCTGCACAGAAGCCCCTAATGTTTTAGTTAGTATGATATCCGAGATATCGAAGTATTTCTTGGCATAATGCATTACGTATACGATTGTTGAAAACTCTTCGACAGTTAACAATCTTATCAATGGTGCTTTATGCCAAGAAAGCTTACCTCGATATCTCGCATATCTCATCAACTGCGAAAATGATGCGAGCTTTGTGGAATATACTCAACTGAGGACCACCATAAACGAAAGATTCAGTAAAGTTTCCCGTTAACTCCAATACAATTTGCGGATGCATATTTCGTCAGTCGATTCTACTGGTTTGTCCGGTAACTCAAGCCAAACCAGTGGTGACAGAGAACAAAGACGCGAAAAAAACGGACGCGGCTGAGGTTGAGACCGGGAACTATGTCCAAGGCACACTGGTAGCATCGCTAGCCTAACTAACCTGTGACCTAACTGTTCAGTGTCCACTGCATGAAGGCGCTGTGAAGAGAAATGAAATCGGACATTTGGCAACCAGGAAGTGAACACCTCCTCCAATTGCGACTGTATCCAGGGTGTGGGATCAAGAAGCAGTTGATATGCCCAGTCGAGGGATTCCATGCCCTGTGGGAATTCGACAGGCGCTTCGCCAGAATGTGTTATGATGGTCATCATTATATCATAATCGGTAGACGGAGGCAATTGTCGAGTCTTTGAGAAAATCGACGAGGATGGGACTCTGGAATAGGTTAACTGGAGAGATCCCTCTTCTTGAGTGGTAGCCGATGACGGGGCAGTCAGATGCTGTGGTGGAAGAGATCAAGTGTGAAATGTGTGTAAAGTTTAATTGAATTAAATTAAATAACCAAAACACTCATAAATTCCTGACAATAAGGACTTACTTCAATTTCTGTAACTGGAAGGAGAACGGAATTCATAATGACGGCTATCTGAGAAGCTAACTTTCGTCTTCCCTCGCTCTTGGTACCAGCAAATGGCTCCACAATATACAACAGATTGCGATGTGCGGATCGTTGAACTAAGTTTGAGGCAACTTCCGATATGTTGAATAGAGAAGGTAGTTTTTGTGGAAGCACTACCAAGGTGTATAACGAAGAGTCGGAAGGGCAAGAGTACCGCTGGTTTTCGAGCCTGTTTCAAATGTATATCAAAGTAAATAAATCATTAATAAATGGCTCAGAGATCTGAGGAACAGACATAAACTAAGGTACAAAAAGTTCTTTTTCGCCCGTTATCTCTAGTGAGTTAGAGAGATAATAAATATAATTCACTTTAAGAAACGATACCCTACCCTGAACTTCCTTACCTGGCGAACAAGATGGCGCGGGGGTTTCCAGGAAAGGCAGCAGTGGCTTAGTCTGTTCCCCAGATAGCCACTTGAATAAACTATGGAGAATCGCTCATCAGTGGAGACGCCGTTATTCGGTCAAAAGGGCTATGAGTAGTTAACTTGGTCCACCGGACAAATCGATGAATGACGGCAAAAAGAAATGCATAATCTAACACAGCAATGATTATTTGATGGAACTTTGCTTACCTACCATAACGATGTCATTCATCGACGAAGCGTATCATTTTCTTAGTTTACCTGCTAATAGCTAGTTGGTTCAAACGTACTTGTTTGGTAATACCTGTTGGAACATGGCTTGGACCGACTCAAAATACATGCCGATGAACTAAAGGATTGAGATCAAATCTCAGCGTAGTCGTCCTACATAAAAGGATGGAAAAATAAATAAAAATCTCAGTTATCTCATGGAATCGTAAGAGATACACATCGACTATCGACACGAGAAGCGTATCATTTTCTTAGTTTACCTGCTAATAGCTAGTTGGTTCAAACGTACTTGTTTGGTAATACCTGTTGGAACATGGCTTGGACCGACTCAAAATACATGCCGATGAACTAAAGGATTGAGATCAAATCTCAGCGTAGTCGTCCTACATAAAAGGATGGAAAAATAAATAAAAATCTCAGTTATCTCATGGAATCGTAAGAGATACACATCGACTTTCTCAGCCAGGTCGGTCGATATCTTAGTGACAAATCGGTTGATGTGTTACCAACAAACCGGCCGACTCATGCCTGCTTGAACATGCCAACTGGTCAAGCGGGTTACGCAGGTTCGTCAGATTTTTTCATTTTACCCATAATTTATTCGGCCAGTTATTCGTGAACACAGCGTTTGGCTAGGCCAGTTGGAACATGTGGTCTGGCTCCGTTATAATAAGGCTTCTGGAATCATTGATTATTCATCTGTTGGCAGCACACAACAGATTCGCCTGTGAGTACCAAGCAGGATTTTCACCGGGTAAAGAGTGCATCGGCCATATCTTCACAATCCCACAGAGTAACTCAATTCGTACAGACGAGACGCAATTTTCAAAGATGCCTTCAATGATTATTTGATGGAACAATATGTGGCCAGAACTTTGCTTACCTACCATAACGATGTCATCGACACGAGAAGCGTATCATTTTCTTAGTTTACCTGCTAATAGCTAGTTGGTTCAAACGTACTTGTTTGGTAATACCTGTTGGAACATGGCTTGGACCGACTCAAAATACATGCCGATGAACTAAAGGATTGAGATCAAATCTCAGCGTAGTCGTCCTACATAAAAGGATGGAAAAATAAATAAAAATCTCAGTTATCTCATGGAATCGTAAGAGATACACATCGACTTTCTCAGCCAGGTCGGTCGATATCTTAGTGACAAATCGGTTGATGTGTTACCAACAAACCGGCCGACTCATGCCTGCTTGAACATGCCAACTGGTCAAGCGGGTTACGCAGGTTCGTCAGATTTTTTCATTTTACCCATAATTTATTCGGCCAGTTATTCGTGAACACAGCGTTTGGCTAGGCCAGTTGGAACATGTGGTCTGGCTCCGTTATAATAAGGCTTCTGGAATCATTGATTATTCATCTGTTGGCAGCACACAACAGATTCGCCTGTGAGTACCAAGCAGGATTTTCACCGGGTAAAGAGTGCATCGGCCATATCTTCACAATCCCACAGAGTAACTCAATTCGTACAGACGAGACGCAATTTTCAAAGATGCCTTCAATTTTGCCGATTGGTCAGTGCTGCTAAACCCATTCGATCAACGGGGTATGCCCCCAGAAGTTTGTGGACAACCAGATCCCTATATTTACATACTTCGGGAAGTGCGATTGTATGGTGAGATCTCTAAAGGCTTTCCTACAAAAAAAGGTGCCGACAAGGGTGCCAACTCTTTCCGTTCTTGTTCAACGTCATCAGTGATGAAATAACGAGGCGAACGCTGGAAGGTTTTCAAAAGCCTGGTGTTCAAATCGTCGCTGGTGAGAACCTTATTGATCCGGAGTTCACAGACGACATCACCCTCATCTGTAAAGAAATCAAAGCCCTGTTAAGTAAAATGACCATCAACATACTATCCTTGGGCAAGCGCCCTGCATCTCAAAGTGCAAAGTCATGTTTTGGAACGTACAGTCCTTGAACATAGCCCTTACAGTTCAAGGAGATGCATTGAAGATTGTGAATTTTACATACCTCGGTAGTTGTATTAGCTTCGACGGAGGTGTATCCGATGAAGTCGGAGGACCAATCTCCAAGGCCCGAATCATGGTTCCAATTCATGTCACTTGTGGCATCAAAACATTATATAACTGGGTCTCAAAGGCCGCGTATTTCACACTACAGTAATGGCTTTATTGTCATATGGTCGCGATGCGTGGTCTCTGCGGACAGTTGATGTGAGACGGCTACGGGTTTCTAACCACTGATACCTTAGAAGCGTCGCTGGTATCGGGTGGCGTCAGCGAATTTGCAACGAGCAAATTAGAAAACGGTTGTGCAGCAGGTACATTGGCTCGATCATGTGCTACGCAGACCGAAACAGTCTACTGAGATTTTTTCTTCAGGGGCCTCTATCAGAATGGTGCGAACCGCGAGGTAGACAACGCACGACTTGGTTAAAGGGTGTGAAAGAGATAAGGAAGAGTTTAGATATTGTTGGTGCGGTACGCCTTCCAGGACGGGGTCTTTGTGACCCCTCCTGCACTTAGCTGGGAACATTGCAAGGAGTGGTGGCTGATCAAAATCGGTGGCGTTTGTGCTGATAGTTTTCCTCCAGATTGTCTGACTGAACGTTTGGAAGTTTTGGCACCTCAAAACGCGTGCAGTAGGATGGCACCCGGTTTCTTCCTTATATACTCTTTTCTCTTTTTCACTTTAGAGCTTTAAAAAATAACTTTGTGGTTTTACAGCGGTGAAGCACTAGTACAACACTGATTGGACTGGCTCTGTTAAGGACGGTGGACCGGAAGAAAGGAGACTAGACGAAGAAAAGGTTAGAGTCATTGCACTAGAGGCTGAGACTTATTTGCCAATGGTTGATTAATACTTGGGGCTTCGTCGTATTTGCTCAGATGCAATCAGCTCACGAAAATCGATTTACTGTCGCCGTATTGCTGCAAACGATATTTCATCGGTTGTAGGGAGCAAAATCACTTCCATAAGCGCTTCAAGGAACACTCCCAGGTATCTTGCAACAGAATTGACCAATAATGAGTTATTTTTCTGGTACACAGTCACCCCTCCATTAAAAGACCAATTCATTTGCATATTACACCCAATGAGAGCGGTGCCATGTCTGTGATAACCACCCGCATAAAATCAGTCTATCTTTAACACGCACCAAGATTTAGTGAGAAATGAACGCAACGCAATAACAAGATAAACATGGTGGACTAGTATTTAGCGGCGTCGTTGTTGTTGAATACTTAATGAGCTGGTGAGGCAATTCTAAAGACCAGACCCTCATATATTCTTGAAGATCAGGTAGTTACTTCGTCAAAAAACTACGAATATTGCTGGTTCAGTAAACCTGTGCACGACTGTGTTGGTGAGTGCCGCCGATTGTGAGTTCAGTGCCGCATTAATCTAATTAACAATGAGTCGGAGACTGCTCATAATATAACTTGCTCGACCAATCATGAAGAGCATTAGGATTTCCTCCTGCCCCCTGACCAGAATATATCCGCGGATTTAGAGTATCTCGTGGCAATGTTGTGGAATATAGGTGGCTCGGGTGCGCTGATTGGTTGTTGGTCTGTTCGCCGAGCTTGGCAGTTGGATTGCAAAAGTTTCACCATCAATCGAGGTGACATGATCAACCCCGTACTGACGATGTAACCTTGACTAGTGATGAAACGTTTGCAATCCAACTGCCAAGCTCGGTGGACAGACCGACAACCGGAATACCTTGTGTCGACAGAATCGGCTAGTGAAAAATACCGCTCGGATACGAAGATCCGAGCGAATATTGCTAAAACTACCACCTCGAACATAAGCCCAAATGTAGCTGAAGCAATCAAAAAATTCTAATTTATACGCATGATGGCAGAAAAAGTGTGACTTCCTAAAACTTACTGCGATAGCTCGGCAGCAGAGGAGCAATCACCAAAGAGTTCTGAACTGATCATGTTCAGAAAATTACTAAAGCTTATACTGTTGGAAAGCGCGTGCGTGTAAAACTGTAGTTCAGGCTCAGTTGCTAAGCGAGTACGGACATCACAGTCAACTTTCAGTTTAGCAGTCGTATGCTGAATCGATCCACAGCGAAGAGTTGGATCAACCGATTGCGTAAGCTGAGTCTGAATCTCAGCCAGGTCATCCGGTAGCAATGTCTCCGAGAAGCTGATAATATCCATCTGCAATAAGGGTACATGAAGAGAGAAAATTAGGAAAACTAGAAAATTAGGAACAAAAAGACGTTCGCCAATGGTTAGCGCAGGCTAAATAAGGTCGCACAACCGTCTGTTAAATTTCCTCGGTCTGGAAAGTCTGCTTACAATGTTCTGCGATTAAATAGCAACGATAAGTAGGTCGGCTACAGCAACGCCTTGGCAAGTAATCAGTACGCCCAGCATTCGAAACATTTCGTGGTTCATTTCACCCAAATAAATACAGAAACCCACACATCAGATAGTAAGGTGACTTATTTGTCTCAAAAATAAACGATGTAACTGCAGAAATACTCTTATTACTTCTGAACGCGAACATTGTTTAAATGGGGCAAAATTGATTCCTTCCTGGAGATACTCGCCCCTGCCATGAACATGCAAGATTCTCTCGTAGCAGTATACCATAATGGAAAACGGGATCGGAGCATCCTACTCATTTCGCAGAGATTCCATATGTTGATGCACTCTTGGTAGGCACCTGTACATACAGTATCCTGAGGTTTGGACCATTTTAACATGATATATATCAGTATATAAGTGCGGTTATTCTGTAGTACACGAAACAGGATAGGAGGATTCCATAAGGTAGCTGAAGGTGGCAGTGCTTCTGAAGTAGTCTACCCTGTTGTCGATGACCTAGATTACGTTCCCTCATCAACCGTCCTGCGCTAAGCGTTTCCTTCCAGCAAATCTTTCTCCAATCGGTCGCAGTGTATTAGTTGTGAGATTTGAAAATTGGTTTTGGTGGCTTACTGCGAGTGTTACAAGGGACGCATGTGAAGCGGAACATAACACAACACAAATATATCTAAGCGTGACTGAATCTGAATTGCAGGATTCCTATGGAATTCGAGTTTACTTTTATGGACAGGAACTATACTGAAATTTTCTCCTTCCATGGTGGAACACCTGAAACGGCACACCCATTGATGGCATTGATTTTAAAATTCTGTCGAACGGCCTCTTTATTCCCCAAGAAGGAATATCACATATCGTAAAGCCACATTTACTATAAAACTGTCAAGCGAACCAAGCGATGCAATAAGCACTGTTTGCAGTCTCTTCTTTTCGTTCTCGACTGGAATTCTTTTGGCCGACAATCGAGCTGCACACACAGCACCGTTTTTTGGAACATGCCATGATTACAAAACGGATCAAAATTAGTGGAAACGGAACAAATAGCCTGATCACATGACCAAAGATGATTCGATATTTATCCTTTTTCACTTAATCATCACTTTTGTATTAAAAGACCGACTATAAGAATTTACCCCTTCTCCTAGTTCGTACTCAAAACAAATAAATGGTGCCAAAGTGACAGGTCTGTAAATACCTGGAAAATGGAAGTCGACAAGCATTATACGGTGAAATCACGCCGAAAATTTTAAGCCGGAGTATTCCTTCTACGCGAAGCGATGAACTCCCTCGAACGCTCAGTAGAAGTCCGGAAATTCCAAGTAGATTCAAAACTCAATTGTCATAATGCACAAAATATGTGATGAGGATATGGCTCAACTAACCCACGATGAAGCATTTCAGTTTTCGCCCAAGGTAGTTCCTCGGTTATTCACAAAAATGCACATTTATAGAACACATGTTTCCAGCGATTCTGCGAACGTTTTTTCACGTAAGTTTTCTGTTTCTCCGCTGGCGACGAGAAAAGTACTACATTCAGCGAAGCCTAATCCTAACATATAGACACGGAGGACGACAGTGATGATGGTGAGCCGGGCGCTCATGCCAACAGAGACGCAGACTTTACTACCAAGTATTCCGATCAAGTTCACCTAAGATGGGAGATGATGACTCACCGGGACTTGAACATGAATTGGGCGCGAACACAAGGCTTTGATAGCCCAAAAAGGCAGTGGAGCCTGGTAGGTCGCAGTTGTCCTCAGCCATACCGGAACACCGATGAACAAAGCAACGAAAAGATAAAAAAGGGATATAATCAAAACACGCTTGTTTTCAGCCGCTGTAGGCTTGAATCTCGCGAGTTCCTCATTAATTGACAATGCATTTGCTTCTTGACCAGATGGGGCCACAGGGTCGGTGGGCTGGGACAGTTTATCAGCTGCCATCTGAAACGTAGAATCAACATAAATTTAATGAAGGAGACGGAGAAAGAAAGTACTGTTCAGTGTCAGTCATCAGCCACAGGGTCGGCTGGGACAGTTTATCAGCTGCCATCTGAAACGTAGAATCAACATAAATTTAATGAAGGAGACGGAGAAAGAAAGTACTTACTGGTGTCAGTCATCAGCATCATCATCGACAGCATGACATCAGTGTTCAACACCGATCCTTCACTGCCGTACAACCATGACTTATTTGAAAGCCTTATTGTAAAGAAAAGAATAAAGGTGGACGGGGGAGGGACTTAGTGCTAGCTT